TTGTTAGGGTTCATAGGGTTTTGGATGAAGATCTGGGCAGAAGATGAATTTCCCGACAAAAATTCATCACAGACGGCGGCCTCAACGACCACCCATGGTGGTTGATGCCTAGGGTTTTAATGGATATCTAGGGTTATTGGGGTTTGTTTGAATTTCTGGGTGGGGTTTAAGGTTCCAGTTGAAGTTTAACCGAAAACCTTGGTTTGAACGGTGGCTCAAGGCGGAACAAGGCAGCATCACCGGCCTAAGGCTATTTCCAGTGGCGGTGATCTTAGAGAGAGGCCAGAGCCTATCTCTCTAATATTTTTTTAGTGAGAAGGGGTGGCTATAGAGAGAGAGACAGAGAAAAAGAAAATGATGAAAATGGAATATATAATACTTCCTAAACTCCATGTGCACATCTTACCATACTCCTTCAATCAACACTTAATCAGGATCGTTCATTTGTCATACTTCAGATCAATGCCCCGTAGTTAACCTCTGGTGGCCCTTTGATCTAAATCAAGCGTTTCTGATCATTTCAGCAGACCATAATTCCTTGCCCTCGCTCGTACCTTGTCCAAATGGACTCAAAACAATTATATGGGCTAGACCTGTTTCTATCAACACCCCCTAGATTACTTTCTCAACTAAAATTTACACCCCCATGCTTTTGGGCTTCAAATTTGTTTCTGAGCTTAAAGTCTTGTTATTCACACCCCCTGTTTTACTACATTAACTAAGAATACACCCCCTGTTTTTATTTAAATAATTTATTTAATTAATTAATTAATTTAATTTAATTATTTGTTTTAATTAATTTATTTGGTTTATATATATCATATAATTACCAATTTTCCTCTTATATCATTTTTTTCATTTAGAATTAAAATATTTGTCATTTATCATAAATTAATCATGTTAGCAAATAAATATTTGACTATTATTACAAATATTTAATATATTTCTAATAATAAGAAAATAAAAATTTATTAACTATTTCTAAAACACTAACCTTTTTTCTATCAATTCATCAAACAATTTTTCATCATTCAAACTTATTACTTTCAAACCTCATCATGCATTCATGACATATAACCAATCAAACCTGACATTTTTCTATGAACTAATTTCAAATTCAACATTATTTTCAAAAAAAGGATTATGAACTTGCTTTCAAAATAAACTTCGAACTACGCCAACGACTACACAATTTTCAAACTCGGACAAATTTCAAAACATCGTTCGAAAGCATTTACACAATTCATAAAAAAAACTAACCAAACACATACGAACTACAAAATTGGACTCTGATTCTTCGCAAGGAGATATGTTGGCGCGCGGTTAAAACCAAGGCGAGTTCATAACTAAAGAACTAAATTCTTTTCTTAAACATATGGAAACATTAACTTTTAAATAGAAAATTTATGATTTACCCTACGACCTAGAAGAGGAGCCCCTTAAGAACAAGGGAGATGAAGGGTGCCTAACACCTTCTCTTCGTCTAACCAACTCACGAATTTAGATTCTCTGTACAAATTAGGGTTACGCGTTGTTTCCATGTCCTTAGGACAAAAATTAATGGTGACGACTCTTTATGTTTTGCCGGTTACGTTAAATTGTTAACAACTCTATATTAAAATTATCTATGTTTGGCCATTATAATCGATTATTTGAAGTCCCTAATTGATTAGACTTAGAACCTAATGGATTAGGGCAATTAAAAGGCCAGTGAAACGTTTTCATTTTACACATATCTATTTGCCTGAAAATATATAGCATTTACACAATTCAAATCATCCAGAAATCATGAGAACCATGTCACTTCTCAAATCTCTCAATTTCTTTAAATCATTTCGATATTTTTATCACATATTTATGTCATAGTGATTTGAGAGCGTTCTTGAGTTTAAGTGAGGAATTTGTCACGGAGAACGGATTTATTATAAATTTAGCAGGAGTAATATTTTCTCTTGAGTAAATCATTCTTCCTTATATAGTAATCATTTTTGTTCGGAGCAAAACCATTTTTAAAAGCTCTTGGTTAATTTTTGGGTATTAGAATAATTACATATTTGGTTCATGAGTTCTTCCATTGAAGAAAAGCTCTCTTTTTGGATTCGTGAAGAATAAATAGAAAAAAATATTCAAAATGGTTCTTGAGCTAAGCGAGGTGATAAGCTCTATTAGTTCGAGATCAGCCCAGTTAAATTTTCACTTAGTTTTTGAGTTAAGCATATGTAAAATCTCGATTTGGTTTGTGGTCAACCTGTGTAAAACCTCGGTTATGTTCAAAGGATAGTCAATTCAAAACTCCATCTTGGTTCAAGATCATCCTGTTCAAAATCTGTCTTACAAGAAGGCTAATCGCTTCAAGCTCTTTTGTTGTTTGGTAAGAAGACTAACATTTCCATTCATGTTCATTAATTAGAGACAAATCACGTCAAACGTTGGTCGTTATTTTATTAGAAGTAAACTTAAAACTTCTTTTCCTTGTATAAGGGGTTTTAAAAGCTCTCAAGCATTATTGGATACTCTTAAGATCAATTCTTGGAGAGAGGAGTAAATCACTTCTTTAAGACAAAACCTCTATAAATCTCGGGTATCATATCTATTTCATTAACTCTTTTATTTGAATTTCAAAATGAGTTTTAGTTTAATCAATGATTTTTAAACCTCTACAATTCAACCCTCCTCCTATCTTGTGTATGGAGTCACATGTTCAACAAAATTTAAGTTCTTTGCTAGATATATTATTACAAATAATATATTCCATGGCAATTCTTTCACCTCATCAAATGAACAACTAAGGTGTAAATCATAAGCTCGTCACATTTTATTTTTTTAATAGTCTAGGGAAAACGTATTTATGGTACCTACATTTGAATCCCAACAACTTTGTTTTAACAATTTTTATTTTTTTCTATTTTTCTTCATGATCAATAACCTTGGTTTGAGTTGACAACCTAGAGGAAATGTATTAAGGGCACACACATTTGAATCCAAACAACTGTATTTTAGCAACTTTTTATTTTTTATTTTTTATTTTTGTTTATGACATATTACTTTAATTGAGCTAGAAATCAGGGGGAAAAGTATTCACAAGACACGCCTTCGAATCCCAGTAATTACATCTTAGCACATTTTATTTTTACACCTTCGAATTTAAATCAGTGTTTTTTACACCTTTTATTGTTTTTTTTTGAATTATTACCTCGATTGAGCTGAGAACTGAGAGGACATTTTTTATTTATAATTTGATATAAAAATTAAATAATAAATCTTTTTTGACAAAGTACTAAAATATAAATATATCATAGTGAAAATAATGATAATGAAAGAAATTGTATGAAATACAACACCATTCTTTAGAATAGAAACAATAAAATATTTGAAGATTAATTCCTTATCTTAATATGAAAGTTTGTAACTTTTATTAAAGAGAAACCAACTGACAATCAAAGCCAAAGAATGCAACTTTCATTAAAGAATGAAAGTTTAATTCAAAATGTTAAAAAATAAAATATAGAAAAGAAACTCAAGAGCACTTATACATATACGACAATGAAAATTTTAAATATTTTATAAATAGGTTAATAGGCATTCATCTTCTGTGATATAGATGAGTTTTAATTAATTTTTTTTAAATTTTTTTTTTATATATTTCTTAAAATATTAAAATTTAAGTTTTTTGTTCCCTAAATATAAATATTACCTTTTTATAAAATATTTTTTTTTAACTTACTCTCCTTATTTTTACATGTTTAGAGGTATCCAAAAAATTATAGAAAGATAATCAAAACCTTTTTTAAAGATGAATAAATTAAAATTCACTTATATTACAAAAATAAATGACTATTAATCCTTTAAAAAATATCTACCGACAAAACCAAAATTATTGAACTAAGGATTTATCACAAACAACTATGTAAAACACACACACAAAAAGATTTATTAGCTTGTAAAACTAATTGGATTACCTCTTTAGGGAAAACCACAACAACTTAAAAAAAATTTTTGACAAATCTATATAAATATATTAAATTAAATTTAAAACGGTAGATTATATAACGACACATGTTCACTTCTCTAATTTATTTGTGCCACGTTATTAAATAATTCAATAAAAAATTATAAAAATTAATTTTTTTTTCAAAAAAAAAAACATAACTTTATTGATATCTAATAAAACAAATAATAGAAACCGATGCAACCGGATTCAGGTAAATAAGAACAATCAAATCAACTTAAGGTATAGGTTGAGGCATTGATATCCACATAGAGCTTCCTATACATACTACCATAAGAGAATCACTAGAACACCTCTTTTTTTTAGTGTTGAGTGCCTAAGAAAAATTTGATTCCTATAAAAAAAAATGAAAATAAGGTTTAGTCTCTTAATAAAAGTGATAACATTATTACTGTTTAAATCCCTCACAAAAAATAGATAAAGACTATGTAGAAACAATTATAAAAATACAACTTATTATATTTTTCATATACTAATCATTATTATTTTTTTATTTATATTTTTTTGCCTATCAATATTTTATTAAAACTAATATTATTTTTAAAATATTATTCTTAAATCATAAATGTGTTATATGTTCTAAATTTTAACTTTAAATATTTAATCTTTTATCAACGTTAAAAAAATTATCAAAGTATTTTTTAAAATTTAACTTATAATTTTAAATAAACAAATAAATGCCTCAGTTTTTTTATAAAATATTACATTGAATTACATCTTATAAAATTAAATCATAAATTTTTAGAAATTATTTATAATTAATTAAATAAAAATATCCAATAATATATTGATAATATTTGTAAATAATTGAAATTGATGGGAATTAAATCAAGGGTAATTGTATCAAATATATGGTATGGTAAAAAATAACAATAATGAATAAAACACTTACATATAAAATTTCTTATTATTTTCTTACTCTCATAACAATAATGAATAAAACAATTACATATAAAATTTGAAATAAATCGAACTAAGGAAAGAAGTTAGCTTATTTCTTCTCATCCTCTTTGACAACATCTTGAGCAACAACAGTTCGAATCTTAAAGCGACTAAGCTTCTCTTTATCCGATATTCCAATTTCTTCACCACGTGAAATAGTAGTCTCTGATTCATCTCTTCTTTTTCCTTCCTTACCCAACACATGTTCCAAATTTATTTCCTCTCTTAGTTTTGCAGGAAGCTTTTCATAAATCTTGTCCAGAACACGATTTCCAAAATGTTTTTTCCCTTCATCTTCTTTTAACATTGTTGGTTGCAGTGGTACCACGATGTTGTTAAATTGATCAACCGTCAAGGGTGTTTCAAAGATCTTGTCATCACAATTCAAGGGTCTAGTGGGTTGAGGAAGTTGATTCAAAACAATGTTTTCACTTGTGGAAACCATAGGCATTGTGGAACCTTGCATGAGTTGTAGGCTTATAAAGAGAAATATTTAGAAAATATCAAGGGAGTAAGTCCTTATGCATTGCTACTTTGGCTTTCCATATATATATACAACAAAAAAGTCGTGGATTCTGGAACTTTCATGGAATGTATAATAAATACAGGTGTCTAGACTGTAGTTATCAATTGAAATGTCAAAGTTGATTGTCAAAGATGGAACATGTCTTGCATAGTAAGTCATTTTGATATATTTGGCACCATAAATATTTATTGATGACAAAGTAAACATCATGGATAATATTAATCTCCACAATAAATTAATATTATGATAACTTATTAGACATGATAAAAACAAGGGAAGCAAAATTTGACACGACTCGTATGGCTAAGAGTGAGTTTGAATCTTCAAACGGCACATAGCAGTACAAGTTTTTAATTTCTTTTATCTACTTCATAGAATTTCTTGGCTGATTTCTTAATTATACATAATTTTAAATCGGAATATTGTGGCTACAGTTTAAGAGTGTTTAAATAGGAATATTGTGGCTACGATTTACTAGTAAACGAGTCTCTTCTTGAAATATCATCATTTTATTGCGAAACAACTATATTCAAAGTATTTTTATAATTAATTTTATATATATATATATATATATATATATATATATATATATATATATATATATATATATATATATATATATATATATATATATATATATATATATATATATATATATATATATTAAAAGGGTTCATTGGAAACAAAGTATGAATAGTTTCTCTATGATCAAGAAACACACAAGGGTAGAAAAGATGGAAAAATAAGAACAACACAAAGAATTGATTATTAAGTGTTATTCCTTACTTTCTCTATAATCAAGATTATAAGTATACAAGAATAACAAATAACCCTATCACCCTAAATTAGGATTTGCTTTGCGCAATGATGAGAGACTAGTATGTTATTTATAATAAACCTAAAATACTAAACTAATAGGTTTTTTCACAAATATCTATTACAAGCTAATTATAGGGACACACTAACTTAAACAATTGAGCATAACAAACAGGCCCAATTCAAAATACTAACAACCATAGCATTTTGACACCCACATAATAGAACACACTTCAACTACAATATGTAGGTCTTCAACACGAGTATGTGAACATACTTCGACGACATACATAAATCGTATCGAATCAGAAGGTACTATTCGACCCAATAGAATTCGATCCAATATCTTACAAATCTCCACCTTCGAACAAACTCTATAACATCAAAGAATAAATTAGCTTTCTTCATGCAGCTTTATCATCTGCATACAATGAAAAAACTTGCAACTTGGTAATGTCTGGGTGACCATATTAGCAACATTGTGATTTTTCGAAACCTTCTGCACTTGGACTTCTCCACGCTCGATTATCCCTCTGAAAAAATGCAACCTCACATCAATGTGCTTAATTCACTCATTATATGATGAATTCTTCGACATATGAATTGTACTTTGACTATCACATTTAACAATGATAACTTGACCTTGAAATACCAGCTTTTTAACAAAACCTTCAAGCCACAATGCTTCTTTCACAGCTTCAGTGAGTACAATATATTCTGCTTCAGTGGATGATAAGGTAACAACCTTCTGAAGTGTCGCTTTCCAATAGATTTATGTTATGAAAATGATGCCTTGGAAACAAGTATAAACGATTTCTCTATAATCAAGAAACACACAAGGGTAGAAAAGATAGAAAAACAAGAAGAATACAAATAATTGGTTATTAAATTCTATTCTTTACTTTCTCTATAACCAATATTACAAGTACACAATAATAACAAATAACCCTATCACCCTAAATTAGGATTTGTTGTGTGCAATGTGAGAGACTAGTATGCTATTTATAATAAACCTAACATACTAAACAAATGAATTTTTTCACAAATATCCATTACAAACTAACTTTGGATACAAGCTAACTTAAACAATTGGACATAACAAACATGCCCAATTTGAAATACTAACAACCCTAGCATTTTGATACCCACATACTAGAACACACTTAGATTACAGTATGTGAGTCTTCGGCACCAGCATGTGAACATACATCAACGGCATACATAAATCCTGTCGAAACTATGCCTAATAAGGGAATAGACAACGCTTATAAGCGTTTTCTATTCTGGCGCTGTTGTAAGTAAAGACAAGGCTTTTTGTCTATGTGAAAGTGCTGCTTAGTGTAGCCTTTAGACATCGCTTTATTCAATAAGCGCTTTCTAAAGGCCCATATAGACAACACTTTTTACATTAGAAGCGCTTTCTAAAGTGTGCCTATAGCAGCATTTTCACTTTAGACAGCGCTTTTAAAAGCCTTGTGTAATGTATTTTTTCCATTTTTTTTATGTTTTAGGCAGCGCTTTATTTAATAGCGCTTTCTAAAGTCTCTTTTAGGCAGCACTTTGTATTTCACAAGCGCTTTCTATTCCCCAATATAGGCAGCGCTTTTTTGTTTAAAGCCTTGTCTAATGTTCACGAATTTTTTAATATATTCAACTTATATTTTAAGCGTCCTGTACAAATAATCACTTAAAATTTAAGCGTTATCTTTCAAATTTACACCAGCTTTCATAAATTTGCAGCTTCAATCTAATAAGTATGCACCAAATTTATATATTTATATATACAGCTTTAATCCAATAATTTATATATACATAAATGAGATACAACTTGAAGAATTCAATAATTTATATAAACATAAATTTACATATTTATATATACAGTTTTACAATCCAATAAATTTGCACGAAATATACATATTACTATCTTCTAGAGCTGCTATCTTCTCTACTATCTTCTTTACAAACAACAACAATGAAGAATCCTAAATGAATCTATATATCTTCTACATAGGCACCAACCTGAAACAAAACCAATAAAGGCATATATATATCAAAATCAAGTTATATAACACTTAAATCTTATAACTATTATAATTTAACACATATCAATGTAACAAAAACAAATCAAGAATCTGTTATAATTCACCATTAAAAACTACCTGATTCATACCATGATACAAATAAAACTTTGTTTGAATTTAAATCTAATACCATCCTAACTAACTTTCCACATAACAACAACAACATTGCAACATAATTTACCATACTCAAGACGACATATTATCTCATCAAAACTCAAACTTATAGATAATCAAAATTCTTATCAATAAAAGTGTCACAATACCTTATAAAATTCTCATCTCAATAATATATTGATACCAATCCTCCTTAATTTTGTTCAATTGATCTTTCGAATAAGTAGAAGACTTGTATTCATCAAAGTACTACATAATATAACATATTATGATTTAGTTAAAACTAAATAATTAGATGGAATGTGTTAAATATATTAAAATAAATCATAACTTAGAAACTCATACCATGGTTGGAATCTCTATTTGATTCAAAACAATATTTTTTTTTCATAAACCTCAACATGAAATAACCGCAATCTAAACCATTACGCTGACGAGGATACTACACATGGAAAAAAATACGAATATATATATATATATATATATATATATATATATATATATATATATATATATATATATATATATATATATATATATATATATATATATATATATATATATATATATATATATATATATATATATATATATATATATATATATATAGTTTAACTTGTTTTATCAAGTAGCATCACTAATGTAATAAAATTTGTGAAAATATATATGCACTCTGATCCGTGTAATGTTGTTTGTTTTACTCTTTGGTATTTGAGTATCTGTTTGTGCTTGAAATTTTTTTATAACTCTAACAAAATATAAACAAATATTTAGAACAATCTCACATAAAAAATAAATAAGTATACAAACGAAGATTTAGAATAATCTAACTTACGTATCAACCATCTCCTTCATATTTGGGTATTTTGTCCAATCACCTTCAAACAAATTAAAATAATATACAATTTCTCTTATTGGATTAATCACAACCAACAATCAGTTTCCACTGTAAGATTAACAAAGGTTAGATGGAAACTTTCTACAGAACGTCAAAACACGAAAAATTATAATATATGAAGTTTGAATGAAAATCTTACCCATTGCCAATATTAAATGGGAAAAAACAATTATTATGTATCTTTGTTGGCCATAAATGTACAGACAAAGTACACTTTGACTTCATCTGGTCTTTATTCGATTAATAGTGAGTTGATATTGTTTGGAGATAAGCAACAAAATATTTGGTCCAATTGATGTCGGAGCATCAAGTTGGCATACATGAAACTTAAATTAAAAACATCATTAAAATTAAGACCATTCATTGAAATGTGTAGATAAATTGTTCAATTAATTAAATAAAGTTGATCAAAGTATACCTTATGTATGTATTGATAACACCGATGCCTAATTCTTCATGTCTAAGAACTTGATCCACATCCTCTTTACTTATTGTTTTGTAATAGGAAAACCCAAAATACCTTCCTTCATAGGTATATTACGAACACATTTGTCATCAAAATCCGATATCCACATTAATGTCTGAAGGCGCGACCTATACCGAGAAGTAGGCTTTTTTCTAGCCGCAGACTTTGCAACATCCTTTTTTTGTGTGGACATGTTGCCAATTTCAGGCTTCTAACTCATATTGACTTGTTGCATCTCTTTAACATGAATCTAAAGATCAAATGCATATAAGTTAGGTGAAGTATAAGATCGTGAATTAACTTTTTATATGTATAATATATATCAATTTACCTCTTTTTTGGATGCAACTGACTCGACTTGCCACGTAATCCCCTTATCTTTTGATTTGGATTTTGTAGGAGTCTAACATTACCATGAAAAAAATGTACGTTAAATGGTCGTAAAAAATTTGAATACTCAAAGGTTTATAATGGTTTTCAACATACCTCATCATCTTTGCAAATGAGGTTTGACGGTCATATAGCATACGATCCTATTGCCTCTCCCACCAATGTTGCATCTAAA